TTTAGGGTACTTCGAAAAACATGAATGCCCTGGTCCGACCCAGAGCACCTGGACTGGAAGGGTTAAGGAAGGTGATGGGGGGGAGGGGCTGACAAGTGCTGTTAAATGTCCTCTGTGGCAATTTAACCACCAAGCTGCCACTTATTTGACCAGAGGTTTGAGCCGACCTTTCATAAAAGAGGATTCTGGAGAATTCCAGATGGTACTGTGTCTGCTGTATAGGTGGAGGCTGCCACCCTAAAGGCTTGCCAAATGGACAGGAGAACCCTGAGTGAGTCTGTGTGACTTTGCAGGAGCTGTTGGGAGAGAGACTCACCAAAGGTGACATTTGTATCACTTTTACTTTTGTATAAATTTGTATGTTCTCTCTTGAATTGCCAGCTTCCAGGAGGGAAACTGGCTGACGGTGAGGTCTCCCTAGAGTAGAAAATCAGTGTCTGGCAGATCAGCAAGCATAGTTCCTCCTGCTCAGTGAAGATCAAGTATGTTCAGTATCATGAATTTACTCTGTCCCTCCACAGGAACAGAGCTGCCTCAGATTTCTACTGTTGGATCTCCCACTCAGTGCCAGGCCCTGAGCTAACAGGAAGCAGAGGTAAATGGAGTAGGGTCCCTCCCTTGATAGCCTGTAGGCTATGACACATAAGAAGAAGCAATGGGGACCAGATAGGAGGACATCAGAGTGATTCTAATAAAAGACTAGTGGACAAGGAAGGCTCAAGATTCTTGGAGTTTGGAACAGGGTGGTGGAGAGGCCACGGAAGAGTATGCTGAGTGGGCAGAGCCCAGAGGCGCAGTATTCCGAGGTCACCACCAGGGGTCAGCACCCTATCCTGCTGGAAAGTGTCTCATCTCAGTCCCCTTGTTGAAGAACTCCATGGCCTTCCCAAGCACATCATTGCCACTTTAAGGCCACTTCATCAGCTCATCGATGCAGAACCAGGCAGCCTCCAGTCAGATAAAACTTGACATCTCTCTTGACCTTGGGGAATCCCGAACGTCTCTCATTTCTCCAGCCCCACCCCCATTGTCTGGTGAGCAGAAAGTACCTCCTGAGTCTCTGCTTGCTGTCACCCCTCTTAAGTCTTAAGTTCTCTGGTGTGGTTTTCTGGGGGAACCTAAAGGATTGTGAGGTCACTTCTTCAGCAGGGTTTTTTTTTTTTTTCCGAGACAGAATTTCTCCGAGTAGCTTTAGCGGCTCTCCTGGAACTCGATCTGTAGACCAGGCTGGTCCTGAACTCACATAGGTCTCCCTGCCTCTGCCTCCCAAGTGTTGGCATTAAATGCGTGCACCACCACCACCTGGCTTCAGCAGACTTTTTTTGCCTGTGTCAACAAAGCCCTTTTCCACACTCAAGGCCCTTTTATGTGCCCTGGAACCATGTTTTAAGAGCCCACCCCTCTTCCCTACCTTAGGAATATTTCTCAGTCACATGGGGCTTTGATCCCTCTTAACTGGATACCCTTCCTCCCTCTGTGATCTGGCACATCTGCTCTTTCAAGTCCCACCTTTCCTTTACCTCCCCTACCCCCATTGTCCTCCCACAAGTGAGTCTTACAATTTTACAAGGCTCACCCCATTCCTCACAATCTCTTTGACCCTGCCTCATATGACCCTTCTCCAGAAAGCCTCCCCTCTCTGGCCCAACGTGGAGGGGACAGAACCAGGAGATCCTGGGATGAGAAGTTATGTTGGAGAGATGGGGCAGATGTCCAGCTCTGTGGGGACCTCAGACAGAATCTCATCTGAAGAACTATATCTTTTCTGGCCACGCGTGACACCTTCAGTGGAACCCACTTTCCTCCCTGGAATTTCTGGGGCCCACTTCTAGCCTGGGGCAAAGCAGAAGGCTGGTAGGAGGGGGAGGGAGGCAGGGCAGGGAATACCAACCACACAATATTGCAGTCCCCGCTCCTTTCCCACACACCCACCCCCTCCGCCAAACACGATCCCAAGGTTAATTTTTAGCAACACAGCTCACACATTAGTCACTCCCTGTCACCCACCTACACGGCAGGAGGCTGGTGCCGTCATCCATCAGCTGAGAGGTGGGATCTGGCCCCACCCTGGACAACTCTTCCCATCTCCTGGGTGTATATGATAGGAGCCCTTTCAGCCTGGACGAGGGGCACTGACATCACTCCTGAGTGGGGTTGGGAAGCTACTCAGGGAGGAGGAAGCCAGGGAGGTCCAGGAACCCCATACACCCAGCAAGGGATGACCTGTGCCAGGCAGCTGGTCTCCTGGCAGCCGTGGCCTCTGGGCACAAAGGTGTGAGAGGGCTCCTCCTCTAGACTCGAGCCCTAGGGATGCTCAACAGCCTCATTGCAAGCAGCTGTTCAAACACGAGCTTGGAAAAGCTATTTTCCTCTTCAAATGTCCTCCCTTTCCAAACCAGGAAATCCACAGTGGCAAGATGCAGGTGCCACCACGGCAGCCACTGCCCAGCCCCAAAGGGACATCATTGTAAGAGCCCAAGGTTCCAACTGTAGGTGAAGCAGAGGAGGGGCCATCTGTTCCCACCCCAGGGCTGACAGATGGAGCAGCAGGGTTTCCCCTTATCCAGCTGTGGTCCCAGAAGGCGCAGCACTTGTGGGTGGGGCCTTGGATGAGGCCCCTCAGGGGCAGCTTTAATATCTGCTCACAAGTTGGTTTTCATCTTCATTATTTATTGTCATGATGGGGACTGAACCCAGGACCTCACACATGCAGTCTCTGGCACTGAGCCACACTCCAGCCCTGAGGTACAACTTGAAATAAGGCTTTGTACCTCCTCCAACCATGGCAAGAGACAGACAAAAGAATATCAATACAAGAAGTCAGTATGATTACCAAGCTAGAGACATTCTATTAAGAAAACAAACGGCTTGAGATAAAGAATAATAAGAACACAGATTGATACCAGTAGGCCCAGAAAAATCTTTGAGGGGGTGTTGTGAAGTTGGAACCCCAGACAAGGAATCAACCCAGAAAAGTATAGGGAGAGGGAACAGTATAGGTAGAGAGGCCAGAGGCCAGAGGCAGAGATGGGAATAAGAGCAGATTGTTTGGTTTAAATGCCAGTGGCATAAAAGGAGAAAGAATTCAGAGAGAAGACTCTGTATGGTTTAATGCAAGCCATCTCAATAAAGTGTGGCTGGGTTTATGGTCTACACAAGGGTTCCAAAGGCTGAGTGACTGGATCCATGCTTTCTTGTAATGTGACTGCTTAAAGTGAGGTGATGGGCACGCCAAGGTAAAAAGCTCAGACTTCATGTTTTCCTTCCAGGGGACGCTATGATGGGCTTGAAGCAGGGAGGTGAGATTTGATTCATTTTTAAAAAGGAAAAAATTTATGTGTCAAGTGTGGTGGCACATGCTTGTAATCTCAGCACTCGGGAGGCTGAGACAAGAGGGTCACTGCAAATTCCAGGACAGTCAGGGCTATGTAGAGAGACCTTGTCTCAAAAGTTTCAAAAGACAAAAAAAAATTTTTAATTAAAAAATGTGGCTAGGTGGTAGTGGCACACACCTTTGATCCTAGCACTTGGGAGGCAGAAGCAGATGGATCTCTGTGAGTTTGAGGCCAGCCTGGTCTACAGAGCAAGTTCCAGGACAGCCAGGGCTACATAGAGAAACCCTGTCTTGAAAAACAAAAATAAAAAAGTGTATTTCTTTAGTGCTTAAGTTTGGTACAGTTGTACATGTGCCTTGGTAGCCACTTGGTGCCAGAAAACAACATTTAGGAGCTAGTTCTGTTCTTTCATTGGGGTTCCGGGCATCAAACTTGAGTCATCAGATTTATAGGGCATGTGCTTTACCTGCTGAGGCATTTTACCAAACCCTGATTTTCTTTCTTCCTTTTTGAAACGAGGTCACCTCAAGTAGCCCAAGCTAGCCTAACTTTCTGTGTATAGCTGAAGCTAGTCTTGACCTCTTTGACCCTTCTGCCTCCACCTCCCAGGTGGTCAGATGGCTTCTTTTCAAAGGGTCACCTGACTGCTGTGTGCAAAATGGTTGACACTAAGACTGGAGAAAGAAGTAGGGCCACACGTGGGAGGAAAGTACAATATATAGAGTGGGGTGTGCTCGGGAGGGCCCCACTTAGACTTCCCTCAAAGCCACCACTGAATGCTGGTCACGGCCGTGGACTGAGAGTCTTAGGGGCCAGACTATGCTCTGCTGCTAGCTTTCTGTGTGACTACCCTGAGTCTGTCACTCAGCAGGTTGCTTCAAGGCATGTGGTGATAGTCTACAGCTAATTTGGAACACACTGTGTGGAGGGTCCTGTGTACTAGGATTGGGCAGGAATAGAGCGGTGAATAAAACAGAGTGCCCGGACCCTGTTGCAAGAAGGGTGGACAGGCCAAAAGCTAAACCCACAAAAGATGGTTCCAGATGGTGATCCGCTGTGTTACACAGGGTATGGCCACGTCTGACTGGGTGGGCAGGCCTTAGGGAGGTAGAAAAATTACTGAAGGGCTCACTTGTGGAAAAGCCGATGCTGAGCGCCAGGAGGCTGTAGCCAACTTCCAAAGCAGCAAACGGCCCAGAAATGAGTCGACCAGGGCTCCCAGGAGTGAAGCAGAGGGGGTGTGGGGGGCTGGGAACACCACATTTTACAAGAATGGAGTGCTGGGAAAGAGCCTGTCATAGGTTGGGTGGACAGTGGCAGTCTGGGGACCTAGCTTCTACTCAAGGCAGACCTCAAGTGCTCTCACTGGTGAGCCAGGCTTTCCCACAGGGACAGTAAGGGAGTTCAGACAAGTGACCCCTATGTTTGTTATATCTAGGGAGGAAAGTTTCAAAAATGTACCTTAAGAGGAGGTTCAGGTACTGAAGAGGGTGTAGAGCCTCAGGTCAGGCCTGTACACGCTCATTAAAATCCCCTACACAATTTCCCTGGCTCCAGGCTAAAAGAAAGATGGAAAATGCAGCCTGTGTTTGGAGGGGGCTGCATGCAGTCAGAGCTTGCCTGAGCACAATCCTCCCCCACAGGCAGTTACCACGCTGACACAGATGCAAAAAAAAAAAACATCAATTTTATAGTTTGTGGTTCAGAAGCAACATAGGCAAAAAAAAAAAAAAAAAAAAAAGGTGGTACAGTCCAGGCTGCCCCACCTCACCTGAAGGAACTCTCAACTCTCATTCTTGTTCCGCAAGGGGCACTGAACCCAGGACCCCTGCCTGGCAGGACCCACTTAGTTACAGGTCCCTGGAGAGGGGTTTAAGCCCTTAGGGGGTCAAGGCTGGAGGGAGGGAACCAGCACCTTGCCCCCTTGGGAACCACTGGTTCATTGGTGTGTGTGTGTGCGTGTGTGTGTGTGTGTGTGTGTGTGTGTGTGTGTGTCTGTGTCTGTCCATCTGTATGTATAGGGTGGAGAATGACCCATCATGGACCTCTCTCCTCAGGAAAAGGGTTGGGGGAAAAGTAAAGCTAAGGAGAGGGCTTCTTGGGACAGGGCCCCCACAAGGCACAACTGACCCAGACTGTAGGCTGGCAGAGCCCTCTTTGGTTCCCCAGAACTCTCCCAACTCCCACTGTCTCTTCTCCCCCTGCAGAGACCCTGCTGTGGTGTAGGGGACGAAAGAAAGCAACCAGGCTCTCTTTTTTTCTCATCAGAGACAAGCCATGAACCAGACCAGCCAGAGCTAGCTAGCAAGGACCCTCTCCCGCAGCTTTGGGCTCCCGGGGTCCTTGGACCGGCACTTTTTGCACTGGCTGTTATGATGAATAAATAAATAAATACCTCCCGCGTGCCCACCCGCGCCCCTACAGCTGGCTCTCCTCTTCCTCCAGGGAGCGGTTGAGTCCGGGAATGAACTTGAGCAGCCGCCGGCGGAAACTGCGGTACTTGGTCTTGCGTAGGCCGGCGCCGCACAGGGCCTGCTCGCGGGCCTCAGTCCAGAGCGCGCCCGGCGCGCCCCCGCCGCCACCCCCGCCCGGGCCCGCGCACCGCACACTGGCGCTGCGGCTGAGCGTGGCGCGGGGTGCGGGACACAGCACTGACGCCGCGGCCTCGGCGGAGCCCGGGCCTGGTGTGCGCGCCGGGGGCGGCGGGGGTAGCAGCGCCTGCGACTCAGCGCCGCCGAAGAAGCACGTGTGGTACACGGCGTCGTCAGTGTCCCCCTTGGCCCGCCGCACGCTCCCGCGGGAAGCCCCAGGCGCAGCAAGCAGAGGCCCAAAGGGCAGTGAGCCAGGGAGCAGGCCAGCGCCGTAGAGGCAGGAGCGCACGGACTCCAGTGTGTCATAGATGCTTGGGTCCTTCACCACCAGGCCTGTGGGGACAGAAGATCAGGAAGCTTCCTGAATCCTGGGGCCAGAGCGCCGTTGGCTAAGGGTCAGAGGGCATGCGCAGGATGTCCAGTTCTTTCCTGTTGGCCACCTACGTGGGCCCTGAGCCCCAGCCTTTCTGGCTGTAAACTCAAGAATGCTACTTAGGGACAGAAAGGCAGGCCATAGGAATGACACACACAGGCTGCTACTGCTTCTTCTGTTTTGGAGACGTGGTCTCTCGACATAGCCCTAGCTGTCCTGGGACTCACTAATGTAGACCAGGCTGGCCTTGAACTCTGAGATCCCCCTGCCTCTGCCTCCAAATGCTGAGATTAAAGGCTATGCTCAACCCTAACCTCCAGTGAGCGACTGTGAGAACAGAACAGTATCAGCTTAGGGCAATGTGGTGTCCAAAGCCCCAGACTCTTCACTGTGAAGCCAGCAGCCAGCTCTAAGAGGGGAGTACCGATGGGGATGTCTGTGAGGATATCCCAACCTACTCACCATGAACTAGCCGCTGCTCCTGAACCATTAGTGATCTGTATTCCCCCCACTTCTCATACAGGGTTTGCTGTAAGACACATGCAGCCAGCTGTCAGGACTAAGCAGGAAACCAGCAGAATATAGGGACACAAGGGTCAAGGGTAAGGCCCAGAAGCCTAAGGGGTAAGGGAGGTTGAGAAAGGTGAATAAGTCCTTGAAGGAGCTGGCCTGAAGGCCAGGGAATGGGGAAAGTAGGACAGAACCTGGACTTGTTTGATCCCTACCTTAAGGTACTGCAGGCGCGCCTCCAGTTCTGCTTTGCGAATGGATGTCCCATACAGAGTTTCCAGTCTGAGGGATTGAGGGGACAAAGGCTAAGTGAGCCTGAAGGTTGAGGGAATGCCACAAGGCTGAGCTCAGGAGCGCTTAGGCACTGCACCAAGACATGGGTACCTGAGAACGTTGCCAGATGCCTTGATGATGTCAACAATTTCCCGGTGCCGGATGCCTTCCACATTGAGCCCATTGACACTGGCGATAGTGTCCCCTGCCAGGAAGAGAAGAAGTCAGCGCCTGTTTCCCAGGGCATGAAGGAAGGATTCCAGACAGAAGGGGCAAAATGGTAACCTGGAGAACTATTCCTGAACTCCCTTCCACAGTGGTGGGGAGACCTGGGCATTTCATTTACCCTACTCAAAATACACAGACCCTAGCTGGGTATGGTGGTGAATATTTTTAATCTCAATACTCGGGAGGCAGAAGCAGACAGATCTCTGAGAGTTCAAGGCCAGCCTGGTCTACAGTGTAAGTTCCAGGGCTACACAGAGAAACCTTGTCTCAAAACAACAATAACAACAACAAAAGTGCATAAAACCACAGGCATTTCCTCCAGCACAGAAACCACGAGCTTGACTGGATAGAGTGACCTACGCTCAGTTATCAGGCATACCCTCAGGAAGCTCTGTCCCTAATACAGAGTCCTCCTGGGTTCCCATGCTCGTCCTGGAGTTAGTATTTCTGTTTAACCCACACCTGTCTTAGATTCATTCAATACAGGGAAGGCAAGGGTTAGTGCCCAACTGGGAGCTGGCCCTGGCTCTAGGCATGCCAATCTTCAGCTTTTGAATCAGGTCAGGCCCTGACCCTAGGCAGGGCATGCTGAAGACTTTAAGTGCTTGTTTGCCATCTGTAAAACAAACAAACACGATACAGTTCCTGGCTATGGCTATACCAAGGACAATCAGGAATTACCTAGCAAAGTGTTGCTGGTATGTGGACAAGAAAGTAAGGGCCCAAAGGACAACTGTGCTGGCAGAATGAGTGTGGACTCCTGTGGTCTCAGGTCGCCCTAAACTGGGACCCTAACTTCAGGGTCTCTTGCTGGAGCACCATTTCCTTGAAAAAGGACATAGCAAAGGTATCCCAGATGGAGTAGAAAGACATGGTCCTCATGGACCATTTAGAAGCAGACCTGGTAGAGTACTTTTCTACCACATTCTGCCCAGCTGGACTGCACAGCTGCCAGGAGGCAGAACAGCTGCTCAGCAATAGCATCTCTTTCTCCAGGCTCCACTCTGTGCTCAGGGAACCACATTGCCACACTGTTGTCTGTCCCATTTTGTAAAAGAAGCACATAGGGTCCCATACTACATGGCCAGCATGCCCAAATCCAGAGTACAGATTCCACTCATTCTTCTGGCCTTCCCCAAGTTGGAGGATAAAGGAGACAGAGAAAGAGAAAAATGTATCCCTCTGCTTAGGAGTAGAGTTGTACACTGTCCCAGAGCCCTGTGTTCTGGGCTCAGGGTTTACCTGGTGTGAGCCCAGCTAGTTGGGCAGGGCTGGACTCATGAACTCGGCAGACAAAGGTCACCATCTCTACGCGCTGCTCCTCTCGGTGGTGAAGGCCATACGTCTGTGAACAAGCAATTGGGACACTCAGAACAGAGGCAAGCAGATCTGCTCACCCTCCAGTTTGACCTGATTCCTCACCCCTCTGTGCCCAGCTTTTCCCACCTGGATCTCGAAGCCGAAGGTCTGGTTGTCTGTCTTCTCCAGAGTCAGCACCTTTCTGCAGAAGACACAAGGGTTGCGATTACAAGAACCCAGGAAGTATTGAAGAGCTGGCTATGGTGGCCTGAATCTATAACTCTGGTACTTGAGAGACTGAGGCAGAAAGATGTTCCATTTGCATCTGAGCTACATAGTGAGGCCCTATCTCAAAATACAATAACAAAAACAGGAGCGTGACAGCCCCACAGCTTAGCCTTCAAGGATGTAGAAGTTTGATCTGGAACATTCTAGAAGGACCCAGAGTCTCCAGTGACAGCTCATTCTCCACAGATTTTTGGAATGCCCTTCCCAAACCCAGCTGAAATTGGCCTCAGGGAGCTGCACAGAAGTAAACCAGTCTCCTACAGGGGAAGGGAGGCATCAGCAAAGGCTGGCCCTGAGAAAGGGGTGAGCCTAGCAGCACCACAGCCTTCCTGTGAGGGAGTCTGACCATATACTCACACTAACTGAGGCCCCCAATTTGGCCCCAGGGCTGGAGCATCCTGGCTCAGCTGCTTTGGGGAGAAGACAGCCCCACCCCCCAGGGGCCAGTCACGAGGCTGGGCACAAACCACAACCGCTCCTCCCAGCTGTGGTGTGGCCAGCCCACCAGATGTGAAGGCTGGGGGAGGGGAGCCTGGGGCCACCCCTTCCCGAACTGAAGGCTGCCTGCTGGACACAATGGTCTGGAACGCCTCCAGATCCTAGCCTGCTGGGGGAGTCCAGAGTTTCCTCCGCGCACCCCCTCCTCTTCCTTCCCGCCAGGCAGTGGCAGAATAAAGTGGCTCCTAAGGCCCCTTTGAGTCTGGCAGTCCCAGAAAGGCCCCGGAGAGCAGGCCTCCAGCGCCTAGCCTGAGTCACACCCCCTGTCGCCTAATGCCGCACAGCAAACTCCCCTTCTTTGAAAGGAGCTTTTTAGCCCTGTACGTTCAAGCAGGGGGCCTGGAAGCCTTGCATCTATCCCAGTACTCTCTGGGTTCCTGCAAGGGTCTGTGAACTCTTAACTGCAAAGAGCCAGATGGTAAATATTTTAGGTTTTGTGGGCCCCATATGGCCTCTGTCATATATTATTCTTTGTTTTTACAACCCTTTAAAATATTAAAATAGGCCAGGCATGGAGGTGTACGCCTTTAATCCCAGCACCTGGGAGGTGGAGGCAGGGGGAATCTCTGTGAGTTCAAAGCCAGCCTGTTCTACAAGAGCCAGTTCCAGGACAGCCAGGGGTCTGTAGAGGGACCCTGTCTCAAAAAAACAAGAAAAATAAAACCAAAAAAAAAAAAAAAAATTGAAATAAGTTTTTAAGTGTGTGCATACATATTTCTTAGTTGAAGAGCCAAATAGGTCAATCTGGCCAGTAGGCCACAGTTTGCTGGCCCATCTCAAAGTAAGCCAGGCCCCAATCAGGCATGAGACATGAACAAAAGGGGATCTGGTCCTAGAGTGAGCAGGTTCAAGTGCAGCCATGGGATGAGACCCACACAGGACTGAAGGTTTTGGAGCATAAGGCTCAAACATTTACAAACATCTGGCCAGAGAGTCTCTGGGCCCACTAGGGTAGGCTGGAAGTCACAGAGGACAAAGTTAGGACACTCCCACAGTGTCTCCTACTTCCCACCCTCCACCTCTCACTAATCCAGCTCTTCCCAGGAAAAGGCAACTGGCAGAGATTGGGGGTGGTTAAGGAGCACCTAATGACTCAAAAGTGCCCCCCCTTATTCTGCCGCCCCTTCATACAGCCCACACCCCCACCTGCCTCTCAATCCCAGCAGGGAAGTCATGCCTAAGGAGGGGAGATGTCTCCCAGGGGGCTGGGCTGAGATGCTGCATAGTGCTCCCCCTCCCCCAACACCTCACTTTTCTGGACCACAGCAGGGGCTTTGGGTGGGGGTGACTCACCGATGTTGCTCGGGACTCTGACCGAGATTCTTCCAACGGAATCCTGAGCCCTGGGTGGGAAAATGGCCAGAAAAGACGATGAGAAGGTGCTGGGAAACCCTCTCTAGGAGGACTCTGACCAGAGCCCCAGCTCTGAACATAGCACCCCACTTCCTGTTGCCAGTCTTCCTTCCCAGGTTCACCTCTGCTTCGGTGCTGGTGTAACTATTTTCCAAGTACAGCTACTATTATCGATCCCAGAGTTCACAGTATCCTGGGACCTCAGACTAAGATGGGTGAACTCTTAGCCTCTACTAACCAGCTTGGGGTCTTGTGACTCTAGAATGGCCTCCACCAATGGCATTATGTCTGATGGGCCAGGCCTTCCAGGCTCCAACGCTGAGGCAATAGTTTTCCCCTAGTTGAAGAGAAAGGTAGGCAGCCATTGGGCTGAAGGTACTTACTCCAGGGGCCCTGCCAGGTAAGTCTGTTCATTTAAAGGCTCAGGCAGATAGTAGTCTGGGAGAGTAGAGAGTCAGGGGCAATGCCAGCCTGAATATGGTAGAGGTGCCAAAGCAAAGAGTTTGCAGGGGTGGAGGGTTTCAGCTGTGGATTCCAGCTGTAGTTGTCTATGTCCTCCAGACCCAAGTCTCTTGATAGCACCGTATATATATTATTTTCTGAGACAAAGTATGTAATAAATAACTAAAACAATACAAATCAAACTTGTTTCACAACAGTTGAGAAACTGGGGGCTCTATTATTTGGAGAAGAAGGCCTCTAACTCTGCAGGCCCTAGATAGCCCCAAACAACCTCTGTCCCTCCTGAGATTTTAGTTCTTGGAGGAAGTCCCATCCGGGACCAGCCCTTTCCCAAAGTGCCAAAACAGCTAGAGGCCTTCCTGGGTTGTGCTCTGGTTAACACTCCCTATCCCTCCCCCTCCCCCGCCCCCCAAGCTGCCCCAAAGCAAGGAGGAGAAGGGGACCCTCTTCCTTCAGAACCAAAGATCAGCCTCAGGGTGGGGTTAATACCCAAATAAGCCAAGGAGGAAGGAATGGGCAGTACAGAGAGACCCCTTTGTTTTTCAACCCGATTTTCATAAAATGCAAATTCTCAACAAGCTGTTCATTGTGTATAGTAGGGAATGGGGGACCAGGAGAGAAGGAGGGGGACGCGTGGAAAGGCTACCCATCCCTTCTCCTTAGCCTGGGTCTGGGGTCTAAGCATCTGAGTGCTCAGGTCCTCCCAGGCCAGAGGAACAGCCACAATAACGGGGAGACGCAGAGAGCCGGCGGGTGCGGCCTGCATCCTTCCTGCCCTGTGACCTCTCCCACCGCGTCCGGTCCAGACTGAAGTCAGGAGGGCTGTCCTCTCGCATCCCGCACCTTAGATGCGGGACAAAGCGTGAGGCCCTGGACCTAGGATGCCTGGCGTCTCAGCAGAGGGGTTATTCTCGGGAATTCGCAGCATTCTAAGGGGACATTAGCCTCTCTCCCTCCCAGGACTCAGGGACCCTCAACTTGTCTGAGGCAAGTGGTGGGGGTCCCTTCCCTAGCCCTTCCTGCTACAACTTCAGGAGGTGCTTGGGCGAGGGGGTCCTGAGAGTTTCTAGACTTCTGGACACCGGCAGGCTGAGCGGGAGGCGGCAGAGAGCCAGATGGAGTGAGCCTGAGAAATGGGGTGCTGGGGCGGAGTTAAGGCAGGAGAGTGGGAGGAGATGGGGCGTCCGCGCGTGGGGAGTGGAGTGCAGTGGGGACCCAACCGAACTGGGGGCGTCGAGGTGGCGGGGGGGGTGCATAGCCTTCCAAGCCGGGAGTGGGCATGTTTGCGCCTTTGGAGGGCAGGGCCGAGAGAGGCGGGTGGCCCAGGGTCGGGGGCTAGGGTGTGCTGAAGTGTAGCAGTCGCCAGGGGCTGCTGCGGGCGAGCAGGTCCTGCCGAAAGAACACTGGGTACCGAGTCTGGGGACAAAGGTTAGGGAACGCACCTTTCGGCGGGGCAGGGTGCCCCCGGACACGGCGAGCGCGCGGTACAGCTCCGCAGGGTGGTAGTCCTCCAGCGCCGCGTACAACTCGTCCCCCGGGGCTCCGGACGGAGCGGCGGCAGCTGGGGGGCCCGAGGGAGTCGGGGCCGGAGATGCACGAGCCGCTTCCGAGTCGGGAGCCCGGGCAGCCGGGTCCGACGCGGCCGTGGCCTCCTCCTTCTGCTGCAGCTTCCTGAGTCGGCGGAGGGTCATGGCTCCGGCGCCCTGCGCCCCTCGGAGGCTGCGCTCACCTGGTTCCGCGGGGTTAGCGACGGCTGTGTTGAGTCCAGCCCAGCGGGCCGCGTGTAGCCTTGCTTTATAGACTCCGGGGAGGCGCGGGGAGCGGCCTCCGGTGGCCTCGCCCCCGACACGCAGGCACCGCCCCAGGGGATGGGGGGGGACCTGCTGTGGCGAGCCCCGCCCACAACGCTTCAAAGACCGCTGGTGCTTAGGAAACTCTGGGGGACTTGAGCGCTCAGTGGAGGAAACCTAGTCGCCCACGGCAGCAGGAGGCACAGGACATCTGGGGCGAGCAGGGGTTTGGTTTACGTGCTACCTGGAAGTGGTCTGTGAAAGCACATTGGATGAGATATAAACTTTGGGAATGGGCGATGGTTTTGGTGGTTGGTGGAGACGGGGCGGGGGGGGGGCACAGTAAGAAATCATGGTAAATAAGCCAATGGAAGCTTTGAGATCGGGGAAGGAGGGGGTCAGACTCAGTGGGCAGAGATTGCAGGAGGCCCTGGACGGGGCGGGGGTAGGGAGTGCTACCCAAGGGGAGGAATGTGGTTTCTGACGAAGGGATGGGGAGACATCTCTGAATTGACCTCGCAGAAGCCCCTGGGGAGTGGGGGGCTGAGTGTTTCACCTTCCACCTTCACCCTAGAAGAGCTAACTTTCCTTTCCCAAATCAAAGCCAGGGGAAAGGGAGACTGGAAACCTGCCTGTAGGAGATTTAATTCAGGGCTCCTCCTGGATGCTGGAATCCAGGCTCTCTTTCCTCACGCGGGGCTTGGACTGTGCACCGAGTAGGTGCTCAGCGTTGGGGCATGGTGGGTACTGAGCCATTCTCTAATCCTGTCTTAGATACCATTCCTCATGCTTTTTGTTACCATGGTTGCCAGGCTGCAGGAGAGGCGGATGACCTAGCCCATGTCTGTCATCAGTGATTCCCAAATAAGAAGTGAGAGAGGGAAGTGGTCAGCATCTAGCCACCACAGAGAGAGCCTGGGGCTCGGCATTTGGAGATGAGCCAGTACACATGTGCTTTACATACATCGTAACAACCTATGAAGTAGGTATGCCGTTATCCCTTACAGAGGAGGAAGCTGAGACCCACCAGAAAGCACCTTGTGGGGAGGGTCACTCAGGGGCAAAGCTGAGGTCCCCAGCAAGGCAGCCTGGTTCTAGGGCTCCAGCCTACCTACTCTGACTTCGGTTCTTCATCTTGAGTTTGAGTCCTACTCTGTACCAGGGACTGCCTGGACACTGGTGTAACAGAGGTGCTTGGTCTGGTAGGGGGTAACATGCTGTACATGCACTGTGTAAGACACATAGTATGGGGTGGGGGCAGAGCAAAGGCCAGAAGGCCATATCTCAGAGGCCAGGAAAGGTTTTCTCCTGTTTCAGTTCACCAGTCTAGCTGTCTCGCCGTGTCTGTGTCTTGCCCACCCTCAGGCTCCTGCGCCTCCACTGTACAAGAGGGAGGTGGGAAGGGTGCTCCTCCACACTCAGAAATTGCACAAGTCCAGATGGCAGGATGCTTGTGGGTTTGGAGGTAGGGGTGGCTTAGAGCTAAGGCCTAGCTACCTTAATGATTTTCACCCCCCTTTAACCACCAAGTGGCCAGCAGCTGAGGGGCCAAGGGAGTGTTGGTGGAGAAACATGGGACTCTATTGAGAGCATTAACACAGATGGACCCCTGGACCGTCTGTTGCCTGACAGACGGCATCTGTAGCAGGGGAGGGAGTGGGGAATAACAAGGCAGAAGGTCCAAAAGTTTCCATTGTATTCATTCTAGTGCTTATCCATGCAAGGACCCTCCCCAAAGGGACCCTGCACAACCTCTATGTAGGAACAACTTCTCTACTCCAGAGAGAGTAATTTAGTGAATCTGTGTCTAACAGCCCTGCTGACACAGACCTCCTTCGGGCTTACATAGAGGTAGATATCCCTCTCCACACCCCCAGCTGGTGCAAGTCCAACAGGCTCTGGCCTCCAAGTAAGAAACCACCACAGGGAACTGAAGTTCTTACCTAAGAACGAAGGTGCTAGAAAACCAGAGAAAGTGTGGACCCAGAAAAAGGCAATGTCTATAAATCCTTGGCATGGTTTCCTCAAATCCTAAGATTTCAGAGCTTGAAGGGGCTTTATGTTCTGGAAAAGACGTGTGTGGTCCAAGCCTTGCTGCCTGTAACAGCAGCCAGAGGGGAAAAGACTGCCATAGAATGGGCTTGGAAACCCAGGACTCTTGACAAAGACTGCATCTGGCAGCTGGGGGAAAGCCGAATTACCGCTTCCTCAGTTTCTTCAGGGAGCGATGTGTAGTCCCGGGTGCGTCCCTGTGGGATGGTGACGCCCTCTGCTGGTCATGAGCCTTGTGGTGGAAAAATCTCCGGACTCAAAAGGTGAGCTAGTGCCTGCACCGCTGGAACACCAGCTGTGTTTTGGGATCCCCCTCAGCAGGATATTGCTCAGGTGGCCACCGAGTTCACAGTAAGGGTCTTGTGAGGAAGAAGATGACGCAGGTGACATGCACTGGAGACTGGAGGCTGTTGCTGGGTTTTCTGGGAGCACTAACTTCCCTCCACAGCACAGCTCCAGAACTCAGCCTTCTACTGCTCTCCCCGACCTCCTCATAAGCCACGCCCCTTTGTCTAGTATCTGTTCTTTTCCTCCAATCTGCTGCAGTCTTCAGCAGGCCTCCTGCTACTCCAGAATGTCCCTTACCCCCTCATGCCTCCCAGCAAATCCCCTGTGGATCTGCTTCTGAGAAATCTACACTCTGCGACTTAGGCAGAAGCAGGTGTCTTGTTCCCAGGGAGTTCAGGTTTCCCAGCTCTTTGGCTACAGCTGCCCTGGATGAAAGGGGGTTGGTCTGTGGAAGGACCTGGATAGTGTGTGGTATTAGTAGGGACTGTCTGATGAACAAAGCCCCTCCTCACTTCTTTAGGACAGCCCTTTGCCAAGTCTCCCACCAATCCACAATTCCCCGTGAGGAAATGGGAGAAGTAACTCACAGACCTGCTTAAATTCTGGGGTACCCTCAGGAAGTTGGAACACTGGAGTATGGAAGATCGGGCCTTCTAGTTACTTTAGGATCCAGACCCGGCACGGATGAATAGCTCTGTGGATGCGGCCTCTGCTGCTGCACTGGGGGTGGGTGGCAGCAGGACAGGGCCTGGGACTCAGCTGGCTCTCTAGTCCACCAGGAATAAGGGGTTGGGCCTCAGCTGCATGACATCACTGCTTGCAGGAGGCACAGAACAGCCGGTGGGCAGCTGACTGGGCAAGGAAGGCTTATTTTCTTAATCGCTCCTATTGCCTAACAGTGTTCACGGGCTAGTGTTGGTGTCAGTGCTGGGGCCCTGCTCGGGGAGGGGTCTAATAGCAGGCCTGATGCAGTACTGCTCAGTGGCATGACTCCTGGGAAGTCTTCAGGTAGGAGCCTATGGGCAGGACAGTTTGTGTTGGGTATGGGTGCCTCATGGCCAAGGGCCATTCTCTTGATTGGTCAGGTTGGAGTGACAGAAGAAAGGGACACACAGTCTGATTTTCTTCAGAGTAGCAACAGCTCACTCCTAAGGCATAGAGTATGAATTATCTCACTCCTCACTTCAGCACAGGTATTCGTCGGAAAGGCAGAAAGTGACAGCTCTTAGGGCTCAGACTCCACAGAGTTGGCAAATGCACACTCGTTTTGTAGCTTAATCGATGACTTCCTCTCCAGGGACAGCATTGTGCATCAGTCTCCCAACTGCCAAAACACATATGCTAGACCTTCAGGCCGCTGACTCCACACAGAAGCCAACTTCCTTTGTGCCATGGTTTGTATCTGATCATGCCTGAACCTGTGTCTCCTGCCCCCTGGCTCTGCCTCCCCTTCCACCCCCCTCCCACTGCGGCTGCCTCCCAAAGGCAAGCAGGGCCACAACACTCCCCGGCTTACAACCCTCTGCTGTGTCTGAATGCGGCTGGTGTCCCACAGATGCAGCCCTTCATGTGATGGAGACCTTAGGTGGTTTGGTCAGCAGGGCTCTGTCCTCACAAATGGGACCTGTGCTGGCTGGTTCTGTGTCAACCTGATGCAGGCTGCAGTTGTCTGAAAGGAGGGAGCCCCAATAGAGAAAACACCTCCAAGCTTCTCACTATGAAGCCCTGGCTCACCTGAAATCACTCTGTAAACCAGGTGGGCCTTGAACTCATAGGTCTGCCTGCCTCTGCCTTGAAAAACTGCTGAGATTAAAGATCTGCCCTATCTTGTTCAGACACATTAGTGGCAGGAACAAGCTAAGACACCCTTCAATGGCATTATCCCAACACGAAGAGTGGGAAGTGAGATCTTGGGTTTTTGTTTTGGTGAGTTTGGATTTTAGAGGAAGGGTCTCTGTCACAGAGCCTTGAAATCAGTATATAGACAACGGTAACCTTGAACCTCTGTTCTCCCACCTCTCTGCTGAGATGTACGCATCACCACACACCCTGTTTTATACATGGTTAAGAATCAACGTGCATGACAGCTAAGCACCACCAGCTCAACTATATTCCCAGCTCCAGTAGGTTTTTAAACTTGGTACAATAGGCATGCTAGTAGCTATTAAGAAAAGTTTGGGGGCTGGAGAGATGGCTCAGAGGTTAAGAGCACTGGCTGTTCTTCCCGAGGGCTCAGGTTCAATTCACAGCACCCACGTGGCAGCTCACAACTGTCTGACACATTCACACAGACAAATGTGTACATAAAATAAAAATAAATAAATTTTAAAAAGGAAAAATTTGGAGACCAACATAAGAGGGAAATTTACTGGTTAGCACAGAGGGAGCTGACCCAAGGGAGGTAATAATAGCATTCATGCTACAGTGTTACCACTTCTGCAGCCTCATACCTTCTCAACACAGGAGCAGCTTCAGTTGACTCCCCTTTCTTATGCTCCTGACTTCCTTGATGTGGCCAAAATGATCATCTTTGTATTTGTGTTGTCGTCAAAATTTATCATAAAATAAGAGTGTTTTGCTTACATGTATACAAGTGCTTGCCTGTTGCCTAGAGACCAGAAGAGGGCGCTGGAGTCTCCGAGAACTG